AGCAACAACGTCACGCGCGAATGGTGCGACAAATCTGATAGGTCTGCCTCTCACCATCGGACACGTTCGCACCGGCACAGACGGCACTCGTTCGCAACCGACCCGATCGACAGACTCGACCACTCTTTCGGCATCGGTTTCGAGTACCACCACGAGGGCCCCTTCGACTGTGCCAGTCGCGCACGCAACTCAGGTCGGATGGCCCCAATCGACGCGCTAGTCCGCACAAACGCACTCGCACTTTCCGCAGTGCCGCCAGCAAAGGTCGTGGATGCCGTGAATCACAGCAGGCCGATCGATGGGGTGGCTGTGCCTGGCCAGTCGGATGTGCAGTACGACGCCGAGGATATCAATGTTCTTGACGAGTTCCAGAATCCGATGATTGCGGGACGGTGGCCTGGCGAGGACTTCGCGTCTGCTGGAGCTAATCAAGGGGAGTCTGACGCGAACCTTGGTCCTCGAGTCAGCACATCGTCTGTCCGAACTTCTTCGTCTTCGTCTTCTGGCAGGTGGCGGTCGTGGGGACTTTCTAAGAAGAACGAGACCGTCGAGTCACTTATTAAATAAGTCGGGATCGTCTATTTATTTGCTTATTTGCTCTTAATAATGGTATCAGCCATTTGTATATTTTCGGTGTTCGGTTTAGGGTTAATGGGATGCCCCCGTATGGATATGGTGGGTAGATGGGAGTTACAATTTGGATGATACAAATATTTTATAAAGTTGCCTACACGTATATATCTGCGCGACGATAAATTGTTTTCTGATGAATATATTTTTAGTGATATGTCTGATATAGTTTCACAATATACTTTTGCACATACAGTTCCCCTGAATTTAAAAATAGACGTCCATTTCACGAGGGGGTCGATTTCGTTACTGAAATATGTAGTCTTGGGTTAGATAGAGCCCCTACATGCCAAAGTGGGTAGCTAAACTTAATAAATGTCTGTTTATTGCGGCTAATTAAGGAGACTCATGGAGAGAACATCTTCACTATCCGAGTTTCCCGGACCTGAGCAATTCACGCGTCGGTTTCGGAATAAGCATAGGGATTGATAGCGTCAAGCTGATGTCCATCATGTTGGTCCACAAGCTCCGTAGGGATCCACGAATTTGAAACAAACTCTCCAAAGACAGTCATAGAGCATGCTTCGGGTAACTTTATGATTACCTTGTCATGAGACAAAGATTATCAGTCCAATGATTTGCTCGACCATTACCTTATTACTTAGATTGCCACCTTCTTCATCACTGGCCGGTAACATTTTTAACATTAAACAGACTTACATGGAGCTGCTATCCAAGAACCTTGCAAGAATGTTATACGCAACTGAATCATAACCAAATAAGCTGGTTAGTTATGATTTTAATCACGCACAATTGACACTGTCGCAGCGTAAATGTGGGAATAAGGGTTTGGGTTACAATGTTCGTGTTGTACAAGAATCATGTCGAACGAAACAAGATACCGATCCCGATTATAGTTAGGACTACAGAGGCTTACTAAAACTCTCAGTTCTCAAATAATAGTTTACTTGACAATTGTGTCACAACAACGCGGCTGACACTTAACGAGTCGGCCGCACGACGCTAGTATGATAGTGGCTTACTGAGTGGCGCAATGGATTGGCTGGCACGCGTCTTGTTCATGTTGCCTTCGCTTAGTGAGGATCGTTATTGGCTCCGCACACATAAAAATGGTAGCTAAGCGAGATGGCTAATTCCACAGCGTATTCGTACATCAATACGAGCAAGATGAATTTGGGCGATATATACCAGCATAGGGTAATAATAATAAGCTACAGGTAACAACAGGCTGCCATTCCGAACGAGTGCAGAGTACCCTAACCCGCACTGATTTGTGCACTTCTTGCCCGATGCGGCTAGAGGTGAGGCTGACAGCCGAGCACAACGAAACTTACCGTTAGTTTACACCGAGAGGGAGCGGGGGCTCCCTGCCATGAATATTACCACGATTTTCTGCGGCCTGTGCCCACACTGCGCCTTAGGTCTAGTCGCTATATATGCTGTCCGCCTGCCTATCCGCCTCGCGACTTCTTGCAGTAAAGTTCCTTCGGTATATCATCATGGCAAATTTACTGTGGCCATACTTCGTCCTGGTGGCCCTGTTGCTCACGCGAGCTCTCTGCGCCGGTCAGTACTGCCGTTCCTCCAACTCCACTCACGCCTAATTCCCTGTTGCTAACCACTTGCATTAGAGCTCACGTACGAGGACGAGTTCGAGATCATCGCTCGAGCAGAGGCATATCTCGATGCCATGGATCGCCGCGACCTCGCCCTCGCCCGCGGTTTGTTCAAGCGCTCGTTGTCAGGATCCGCGAACTACACTCCCACCCACACCACCTGTCCGTCTGGCTCGCTTATTCGTCTCGCATCCACCGGCCTCAGCTCGGAAGAGTCCCAGTACGTCGCCGCGCGCCAAAACGTCACCCGCGATGCCCTTGTCAGTTTGCTCGACCGTATCGGCCTGGACAAATTTGACGCGTCTGGCTTTATCGGATCAAACACCACCATCAACATCGGTCTCGCGTTCTCCGGGGGTGGATACCGCGCCATGCTCAACGGTGCGGGGTTCCTCGCTGCGGCCGACAACCGCACTGTCAACTCAACCGACAATGGACATATCGGTGGACTCTTGCAGGCAAGCACCTACCTCGTCGGCTTGTCGGGCGGAAGCTGGCTCGTCGGCTCGGTCGTACTGAATAACTTCTCGACTATCCAAGCTTTGCAAGCAGACCCTGTTGTATGGGATCTGTCCAATTCGTTGCTTGCTCCCAAGGGCGCAAATGTCACAGCCGCAACAGAGTACTACAACCAGGTCGCAGACGAGGTAGCCGGCAAATCCGACGCCGGGTTCGAAACTAGTTTGACGGATTACTGGGGCAGATTGCTTGGCCAACAAATGTTCAATTACTCCGCCGGAGGAGTAGGTCTCGTCTGGTCCGATATCGCAGATACGGAGCCGTTCATGAGTCACAATCTTCCGTTCCCTATGATCGTCGCGGACGGCGTGACTAAAGGCGAGGCGGTGAATATCGCGACAGCAACTGTCTTCGAGTTTTCGCCATATGAAATGGGAAGCTGGGATAGTACGCTTGGCGCGTTTTTCCCAACAAAATATCTCGGATCCGAAGCTGTTAACGGGACGCCGGCGAATTCCCAGCAGTGCGTGGTTGGCTTTGACAATGCAGGATTTGTCATCGGTACTTCTTCATCGCTTTTCAATGTCGCCCCACTGAATTCGACATTTATCCAGAACAGTTTCCTTCCAAGTCAACTACTGTCAGCACTTAGTAAGGTGCAGAATGACTCTTATACCCGTGACGTCGCTGTATTTGAACCAAATCCGTTCTTTGGTGCCAATGGGACAAGCATGCAATTGGATCCCCTGATCGGTCTTGCCGATGGTGGCGAAGATTCCCAGAACGTCCCGCTGCTGCCACTATTACAATCGGAACGCGAAGTCGACGTCATCTTTGCTCTCGACAATTCAGCCAACCTGAACAGCAACTGGCCTGATGGAAGTGCGCTCATCTCGACCTACGAACGCCAATTTGTCCGCGAGAGCGCGTCGATGCCATATGTGCCCGACAACAACTCGTTTGTTGCCCTGAACTTGACGAGACAGCCAACATTTTTCGGGTGCAATGCTTCCAACATGTCGAGCGTCACGCCCTTGATCGTGTACATGGCTAATTATCCGTATACTTATCTCACCAACTCTTCTGCCATCCAACTGTCGTATTCCACTGCCCAAATTGAAGGATTCATAACAAACGGATATAATCTCGCCACGCAAGGCAACGGTACTCTCGATTCCGAATGGCCAGCGTGCATGGCATGCGCCCTCATCCACCGCGAAGTCGAAAGACGCGGGATCGAGCACACTGCCCAGTGCCAGCAATGTTTGCAAAAGCATTGCTGGGACGGAAGTATTGCGACAAGCAGCGCAACCTTTGGAGAATTAAACCCGGGATTATTGAATAATGCGAATGTGTTATCTACTGCTCCGGCTGGTAGCTCGACAACTACTGCCGCAAACTCGACCGTGACGTCTGCGTCGACTACGGTATCGGGATCCGCAACTGCGTCGACATCATCGGCATCGGTGTCGGAGTCAACGTCAGCGCTCGCTTCGTCTACACGTGTGGCACCGACGGCTACTTTACCCACTTCTGCCGCAGGAGCAGTTAGGGATACTATCTGGAGTAGCGCCGCTGGTGCAGTTGCTATCGCATTGTTTTGTGCTTTTGGAGTTTAAAAGTTTCTGTAATATTTTTCATACTATTTAGGGACGGACATGGTTGATGTGTGAGAGTTGAGAAAAGTAAGATGTTCGTGTTGATAGGTTGCTGCTCAAAATAGTCCTGATGATATGGCCAATATTGGTTTGGTTCATGATTCGATTTAAAATACGAATGGCCTGGAATACACACACATGCACTAGCCGTCCGGCCTCCCCGTCCGCACGCATCTTCCGGCGTCGAAGTCCTCATTAGTCAAATCAAAACAAACCCGAGTCGACTAGTCAGGCCCCTTTTATATAAGGACATCTAATATAACTATTTGTGAGGCCATTCGGTCCCATTTTTGCTACCTTAGAGTGCAGGTTCGTGCGTCACCGAGCCTTAGAAATTGTGCCTCAAACCAGACTGTTCTGTAAGTGTGATTCAACACCTAACGAAGGCAGTCGAGTTTGGCCAGCTTTCGGTCATATCAGAATCCGATAACTTCGAGGGGGACAATTAGGGGCTCAATTACCTGGAAGCAGAGTTAAACAATTTTACAATAATATTGGACTCGGGCCAACCATTATGCAAAAAAACTTTTGGATGATTTGGGGCCTCAATGATGCACTATCGCAGTCGCAGTCTCTATCCACCTTTAAATCCCTTACTGCCATCGTGCATTTATCCAATCGGCGATCATTGCACTGATAAAAACAAATGTTGTTTAAAAACAAAAAAATAAAGGTACTCCCCTGCAGGGGCTCGAACCCTGGACATTTCGGTACCTTATTAGCTGCTCACCAAGGTTCACTTGATGCGTCGTAAAAGCCGAACGCTCTACCGACTGAGCTACAAGGGACGAGTACCATGTCTACGGCTGCCAGTTGCCGCATAATATTCGCTAAATATGGGTTAGGGTGATAATGGACTACTTGATCGATAATTCAGTTGTCTGCCGCATTACAAGTCATACATAAGATGTTCACTAAATTTTAGTTGTGGGATTTATGTATCATAGTAGTTTCCAGTTTTGTTATGGCGATTTGTTTCGGAAACCGGGAAATAACGCGTGTTTGACGCGATTATTTCTACGAATTATCTTTGACGCGTCGCTGGGGGAAAGCATTTACGAGCCTTACCGGTGGAATTAGGAAGAGATAAAGCAGACATGGTAGTCGGATTACCGATTTATAATGTCGGTCGTGTTAACAAAATTGAATTGTGACCACCACCACCAGGCCAATCGATTCATGGGAGGTGTGCAGCCTTAGTAGTTGCTTTTTATTGGGAGGCCCCTTTTCGGATCCATCCGTCTCGTCCAAATTTCCTTCAGCCCCTTAAGATTTACCACACGTAAGTTGGGTATCCAACGATCCAGAGGCCGGGATTCCGTTCTTCCTTTTTCACAAAGTTGCACTGGACGCTTCTTGGTGAGTGGCGTCCTCTCTTCGTGAACCCCTCCCTACCTTCCCTGCCTGTCTTTGTTTCCCAGCGGACTCAGCATCAATAGGCCACTTACAGTGCCTGTGCCTGCTGCTCTTCGAAGCTTGTCAGCACCTAGGTCCCCAATTTCACATACAATCTTAATGTTCTAACTTAATCAGGGAACTGGATCAGCTTCCTAGCCAAGCTGCCTGGCTTCTTAGATTCATTACTGCTGAAGGCATTCTGTGTTGATAGCGCTCGGACCGCACTACACACACACACACTGCCCTCATTTCAATACAAAAGGTATAGGTTCATCCTTCGTTTTCTCCTTCTCACTGTTTTGGGTGGTATTGTATATTCATTCGCTTTGCTAACACAACACTCTGATGTTAAGCTCCTAAACGCACTTTGCTAGAGCCTGTCAGAACGAACTCACCATGGCTTATCATCACCATTCGCGATCCTACTCTTCCTCACGACGGGCATCTTCGGGTATGACGTGGGCAGGCCATTCCCATCAACCATCGATACCTGAAAACGAAGGTGTGTGTTGGCATTATTTTTCCTGTGGAAAAAAGTGCAGTTTTCGCTCACGAGGTAATTTTTAGTCTTGACATCCCCCACGGACTCTTTCTGGCCCACTTCCGAATTGCCGAATAACTCCTCACAGCACTCTCCACAAAAGGAATCGACAGAATTTGACCGGTCGGTTGAGATGCTAGTCCAGAATTGGATGGCAAGCAATACGAGCCCAGCGCTGGCTCCGGCTGCTCCCACTTCTTCGCAGCCGACACAAGCAGACAATACTAAACCTAACTCGTCTTCTATTTCCACGGCTGCAAAGTCGGAGATTACCATAGTTAGCGGTCATTCGCCGACACCAGAACTTAATCACTCAGCTCCAAGTTTCAGGTCGCTTGTTGTGTGGGGAAATCGTAAGGTCGTGATTAACATTCCCCATGAGCTCATGAATGAGCCAGCGTTGCTGTCCACAACTGAGTTGCGTGAATATGAGAGGAGGGTACATGAATGGGCCGTAAGGAATTACAACTTGGTGTGTCACGGTTGCCAATACGGCGGGAGTTGCCTGCTGATATGTTGTTGTAGATCTCGGATCAGTTTCATTCAACGTATGATGCTCGTGCCTTCTATAACGCCCTTACTTGCGGAAAGGCTACTGTTAAGATACCAGATGAGACAGGTAACACGCGGTCCTATTTGTGTATGTTTATTGAACACTGACTAATAACTACATAGCTTGGAAAGCCCACGTCGAGTTTCTGCGAGAGCAGAAGTTGCTAGCTCTTGGTGTGTCGTCTCCAGTAAGTCTGCTGATTCAATTAATAGTATTAATTTCTAACTAACTATTGGTCAGGTACCAAGCGATACGTTCTCGTCTCCTAGAGCAATGACTCCTTCCTATTATGCCATGTCGCCGGATATGAACTCCCTGCTCTCCGGCTACAATGCATTGAATATCTACGCCCCGCAGCCGGTAGTCGCGAACCCAAATATGTACTATCAACCATCGGTTTCGTCAATACCGAGAGCTACGGCACAACCGCCGTCAACGCCATTATCCGCTACAGCACCTGCCTTCGTGCCGCCGCCGGTCAATGATGACTTTGCTACTTCTGGTCTCAACATCAAGTGTGCACAAGGGTATATCGACGCGCCAGCTGGCTGTGCAATACCGACGCCGAATCCCGGCGAACAGGATATGCCGTCCTTGTCTCATCATCGACGTGCAGTCTCAGATCTCCACGGCATTGAAACTGAGGGTTTTATTAGACAGCCGAAGGTCACCAAGCGAATCCCCATTGTCGATCCGGATAGTAAGGCTGCCGTTGGCCCTACACATAGGAAGGAGGCAACTGTTATTGACTTTGATAAAGCAGCTGCGAATGATGCCAAGGCGAACCGAGAGAAACCGGAACCTGTCGTGCAGAACGGTACTCCCGCCAACGAACTGCCGACAGCTCAGTTGGATGATATTGTGCAATGTCTCACGGAGCATAGTCCTACAGCTAAGAAAAACACCAAACCTCAAAGATTTTCTGTTAATGACGATGATTCCGACTCAGTCTGGTCCGACAGTGTGGTCAAGGCTCAGCGCCAACGCCTAGTGGTCGAGGCCGTGAAACGGAACAATCCCATCGACGATGCGGCATTGCAAGCCTTGCTTACCGATGCCTTGTCGAAGAAGCTGGATCCCTTGGAGAAATTAGTCGGCATGTTGACGGACCAATTGAAGAACTCTCGTAGTTACCAGCCAGGGGGCCATGCATCAGACGCTGACGACGAGGGAGATGACTATGCGGATGCGAAGAGCATTCCACGACGACGCTCTAGGACTCAGGAGAACGATGGCGCGACTGAGGAAGCGATGGGTGCCTATATTGGGTCATTGCCGTCATCGCTCGTGTCGCCTGCAGAGATGAGCGCCCACGACTTAATTATTTTAGAGTTGCGTGCACAGTTGGCGACGTCAACGTCACGGAACGAAGCATTACTATCCGAACTTGAGGAGGCAAGACGTGCTCGGGAGCGGGCCGACGCGATTGTCAGCGAATTAACGAACAAGGTTGTCGAGAGCGAGCGCGCCTACAGCTCATTCAGGGCCAAGGTTGATACATATGCCCAGGAGATCGAGAAACTGAAGGAGGAGGCCGAGCAAATTAAGTCGAAACAGGCGATGGAATTCGACGAGAAGGCACTCAGCATTCGTCGGGATACGGAGCGCGAGTACTTGTTTGTAGCCAAGGAGCAGGAGATGCAGAAGGAACAGAATAAGTTTCTGCAGGAACAAGTACATCTATTGAACGATAAACTGAAGATTGCGGCGTCCGACTTTGAGCGTGCTGTTGAGAAAGCACAGAAGGATGTCGACCGCGAATTGCGTGAGAAGGAAGACATTTTGAATTCCCGTGCGACTGAGCTCTCATGGCTACGAGGATTGCTTGATACTCGCGTTGAAGAACTCGATGAGCAAGCGCGCATTCTCAAGTCTTCTTCTGGAGAGACCGTCGACCGACAGACATTACAGAGCGCATATACAAGTAACAACTCGGCATTCTTGGCAAAACTGAAGTTTGGCACAGCCATGAGTTTGGTATCAGATGATTTCGTGCAGTTGATCTCCAATGTGTCGGACTCCTTCGTCGCCCGCGGGATATCTCACAAAGACCATCGACGCAGACTTAGCCGTCAAGTCCTGTTTGAAAATATTATGCCACTCAACGAGCGTAACAGCAACGTACCGAGCAGTCCCGCTAGAATTGGATACAGTGGGGGTTTAAAGGATCTGAAACTAAACCGAGCCGCGACCATTCATGGTTCAGCTGCGGATCGAGAAGAGGTGCGGCGAAGACCGTTCCGCGAGATTTAGAGAGTCCACAGAAGTTTTGATTATAAAATAGAATTCAGCATATATTTCTTTTGGTATCATTTGGACAAGATGCTAATTTTCGTTGCTCAGGATGGCGGTAGCGCTTACACCTGTTGCGTTCATGACTGCAGTAGTTTCTTGACAAGCATTACTGGGAAGTTAGATAAGTTGGTAGTGAATCATATATTAGTACTTATTGACAAGTTCTGATGCGTAATACGATGAATTAATGCGTCCGCTATACAGTACAAACTCCGATCCTCAATAAAAAAGCGAGAAAAAAACACAAAATTATGTAAAATTTCATTGAAATACGGTATAGACATCATAGCCGTTTTATTCCGACTTTCTTCTTCGGCTTCGCATCCGTACTCTTCAAGGAAGTCTTGCTCTGCGACGAAGGAGTAGGTGCACTACTTCCGCGCTGTGTATGTTCCAACGGCCGTAACACGTTCATAGTATCCAGCGCGTTGATAGTGGACGAGCGGCCCGAGTCAGTTTCCGAGTCAGTATAAATTGTAGTGGTATGACCGTTTTCGTCCGTATTGTCCGTGAGCGAGGAGAACTCGGCAGATGGAGTAGCCGATGCGAACGCACTGCGTTTGAGAGCGTGCACGCTGGTCATCAACCGGGCCATTCGTTCGAAATCAGCAAAGTTCTCGAGTAACAGCTTTCCCGCTTCTTCGTTCAATGCTGATTCTGGATTCGGCTCGATCAATAGGCATCGCACAACCTATGTAAATGCACGTTAACAATCTCCGATAGAAAAACGCTAATAATTCGTACCAGCAAGACATGTCGGAGGTCAACATTGGGGCTCCAATCCCGCTTGAGAGTGTCAACACAAACCTCACCCGTGCTCACTGCGACATTCGGATGAAAGATCTTAGTCTCGAAATACGCCTTGGGTGGGCTATTCGGATACTCTACCGGAATTTTGAGCGTCAGCTTCCATGCTCCTTCGGAATACGGTGTGGACGTTGGTCCAAGAAGGTGCAGTGTGATAGTTGTCAAATCCTGAGGGCCGTCGGACGGAAGCACAA